ACCATTCGATTCGTCTCATTGAGACGAATCGAATGGTACCAAAATCGCTCGATTCTGATCACTAGATCACGTGATATTGACCGTAGAAGTTACCTGCGTAATAATACCCTCTTTACCTTATATAATATTATCAAAATTGTGTGTTACATCGGATGTAGATCATTTTTCTTGACATAAGGAAATCCAACGGGGACGGACTTGGAGACTAATTTTCTATCAGATTTGACAGGTTATCGGTTGGTTTTGAGAGGATAAATTCAACAGTATTTGAATTACGCAATCGGATCATGACATAATGTATTAAAACATTTTTTTAACATATTTAAATCAAACAAACAAATAAGATTTTTAAGATTGTTTAAAAGATTTACCATCTCTAAAAATAAATAATCTCTGTTTAGAAAATTTCAACATCGGAATTAAATTTCCATTCAGCCATTATGTCACACCAGTCTGGGGTACACAGAATTAAACTATTAAAAAAAACAGTAGGAAAAAGAACAAATATTAATATTAAGCATAAATATCTGATAACCGGTTACGTCCGTACAAATATGCAAAAGGATCTTATCATTATCATTATCTCATGGCACAAATTGATGAATACTAAACTTAGGCTAATTTTTTAATACGTACGTACATAACGATAATTATAATTTTATTTGCATTTCTAAGTATTACACATCTGTTTTTTTTGTATATATACTGTATAACAATAAGCTCTCTAATTTGCCTTTTCGTAAACTTTTTTTTTTTTTATATTTAAAAGTGAAAATCTGCTCTTAAAAAAATTACATTATTCTGAAAGTTTCATGTAATTTGAATTGGTTAACTTTAACTACGTCGAAGCACAATAAGTTCAAAGTGTTCATTCACACTCCTCTATCTAAAATTGATATTCTACCTTCATTCCTTGATCAAGAGTATTATAATTTAATTTAAAAACATGTTTTTTTCTAATAATTAATTATTGCATTTTTGATTTAGTGGGAATGTATAACTGGTCTCCATTATCAAAATACAACATCTAATTGCTCTTTAGCTTTGTACCACATCGAAAGCGCAACTTTCATCTTAGATCTTGTAACTTTTGCGTTTGCGGAAACCTTCAAAGGAATACTATTCCTGCTTCCCTTGTTGCTCAACAGCTATTTAAACTTTTATCATCAGTGAGGTCATTTCTCTACACGAAGCATGAACCCATCTAATTATTTAATTGAAGAATGCCTAAATAAAGAAAATACCAGGTTATAAATTCTTGTTTCAAGGATTTATTGGAGAAGGAGAATACGGAAAAGTACAACGTGCTGATCTTGAAAGTGATAGAGTTATTGTTGCACTAAAATAATTTAAAAATAATGTGGATATCGAAGAAATTGTTAAAAAGGTAGTTTGTTTTTTGTTTACTTAATATTAATCGTTACAATAGATAACATATAACAGCGTAGCTTAAATTACATAATAGAGTGAATATGTATTCTAATATTATACGCCTATACGGTGCTACTAAAAATGAAGGGAAAGTCATCAATTTAATTTTTAAATAAAAAAAATTATCGTAAATAAGATATATATTATTATATATATGATAGATGAAACAGACCAGAGCTCTATACACTACATGTTCGTCCTTGAATATGCAGACAATGGAACTTTAAAATCATACTTACAAAAAAACTTTTAACATCTTTCTTGGAATGATAAGATCGATTTTTTGCATTACAAATTGTCAATGCAGTTAAAAGCTTGCATGCAGAAGATATAATACATCATTATCTGGTAATTTCAAACACAACATTTGTGATTTTTGCTATTTTTATCGAGCTTAACTATTTATCATTTTTAATAGCATTCAAAAAATATACTTGTTCATCAAAAGTGTACCAAGCTTTCAGACTTTGGGCTTTCAAAGAGATTAGATGAAGCGACAAATTCAACCCAAAAATATTGCGGTGTTTTGTATATATGGATCTACGGAGTTTTAGTATGCCGGGGAATGAAAATAAAGCATTTAGTTTTAACAAAAAATCCGATATTTATTGTATTGGTTTAATGCGACAACGCTCTTTTTTTATTTTGTCTAGAACTTAGCGGGGAAATAATGTAATACCAAAATTCTCGTTTTTGATTTACTATTAATAAAAATATCAAAAACGTAGCCATTGCATATTGTGTTACAATATGTCAAAAATTCAAAGTTACATTTTTGATGTTTTTACTAATAATTAATCAAAAACGAAAATTTTGGTATTACATTATTTCTCCGCTACGCTCTAGACAATAAAAATAAAATAAAAAAAGAGCGTTATCACATTAAAGAGCACATTATAACGAACCCGACAAATATAATTATAATTGCGTAGGTTTGCTGGTTCAAGAGTTATTGCAGCTTGAGCTGTATATGTTTTTACTATTAAATTATCGTTGATCTGCACTATATTTGTAATTAGACTGATGTCGTACATGCATACATGCAGCATATCATGCACATGCATGGTAGAGAAAAATGTCATTGTGCCCATTTCTAGTCTGACATGACGTACAGGAGTGGGGCACCTAACCCTAACCCCATAAAAAACAGCAAATCAACGGCGTGAAGATTATCCCGGTCCGCGGCGGATACTATGTATGATGTGAAAATAGTCAACACTGTATATTTAAATATCGCTAAAAAAAGAATGTATATGCATGTGAAGTATGCATGAATACACATCTATATTTAAATGTTCAAGATGCACATGAAATTCGAGTCGAGTTCCAAGTCTAATTTGAAACCGAACTTTAATAAATACCCATACGGTACTAACGAATCGTACTGAATATAAATAAAAAAAGAGTAAAACAAGTAAATAATTTAGCAATTATCGGGCATTTAAAATCAAAATCTGTCAGCATGAATGATGATACCTTATATAATGGTTATTCCTACCATTATGAAAAAGGAATTGGTGTCAAAAATAAACATAAAGCATTTGGTTACGTTAAAAAATCTGCTGAAATGAGAGATGCTATCGAAATATATAATCTTGGCCGTTATTATGAAAAGGGGATTGAAAAGGATGAACATAAAGCATTTATTCATTATCAAAGATCTGCAGAGAAAGGATACGACATTGCAATGAATAGCGTTGGCCATTTTTATGAAAATGGAATCGGCGTTGAAAAAGATAAGCATAAAGCATTCACATATTATCAAAAATCTGCAGAAATGGAAAATGCTCCAGGAATGAATAATACTGGTCGCTGTTATGAAAACGGAATAGGGGTTGAAAAGGATGAAAATAAAGCATTCATTCATTATCAAAAATCTGCAGAAATGGGAAATGCTCATGGAATGAATAAAGCTGGTCTTTGCTATGAATATGGAATCGGAATTAAAATAGATAAACATAAAGCATTTACATATTATCAAAAATCTGCAGAAATGAAAAATGCCCCTGGAATGAATAATGCTGGTCGTTGTTATGAATATGGAAATGGAGTTAAAATAGATAAACATAAAGCATTCAAATGTTATCAAAAATCTGCAGAAATGGAAAATGCTCCTGGAATGAATAATGTTGGTCGTTGTTATGAAAAGGGAATTGGAGTTGAAGTAGATAAACACAAAGCATTTATTTATTATCAAAGATCTGCTGATAAAGGATACGACATTGCAATTAATAATGTTGGTTATTTATATGAAAACGGAATTGGAATTAAAATAGATAAACATAAGGCATTCAGATATTATCAAAAATCTGGAAATGCTCATGGAATAAATAATGTTGGTCATTGTTATGAAACTGGAATTGGAGTTGAAATAGATAAACGCAAAGCATTTATTTATTATCAAAGATCTGCTGATAAAGGACACAACAATGCAATGAATAATGTTGGTCGTTGTTATGATAATGGAATTGGAGTTGAAATAGATAAACATAAAGCATCCATATATTATCAAAAATCTGCGAAAATGGGAAATGTTCATGGAATGAATAATGCTGGTCGTTGTTATGAAAATGGAATTGGAGTTGAAATAGATAAACATAAAGCATTTATTTATTATCAAAAATCTGCTGAGAAAGGACACAGCAATTCAATTAATAATGTTGGTCGTTGCTATGAAAACGGAATTGGTGTTGAAAAGGATGAAAATAAAGCATTTATTCACTATCAAAAATCTGCAGAAATAGGAAATGCACTTGGAATGAATAATGTTGGTCGTTGTTATGAAAATGGAATTGGAGTTAATAAAGATGAAAATAAAGCATTCTTTCATTATCAAAAATCAGTGGAGAAAGATAGTGACTTTGGAATGAATAATGTTGGTCGTTGTTATGAAAACGGAATTGGGGTTGAAAAAGATGAAAATAAAGCATTCATTCACTATCAAAATTCTGCAGAAATAGGATATGGTCTTGGGATGAATAATGTTGGTCGCTGTTATGAAAACGGAATTGGAGTTAAAATAGATAAGCATGAAGCATTCATTCATTATCAAAAATCAGTGGAGAAAGATAATGACTTTGGAATGAATAGTGTTGGTCGTTGTTATGAAAACGGAATTGGGGTTGAAAAGGATAAAAATAAAGCATTTATTCATTATCAAAAATCTGCAGAAATAGGAAATGCTCTTGGAATGAATAATGCTGGTTGTTGTTATGAAAACGGAATTGGGGTTGAAAAGGATGAAAATAAAGCATTCATTCATTATCAAAAATCTGCAGAAATAGGAAATGCTCTTGGAATGAATCATGTTGGTCGTTGTTATGAAAACGGAATTGGGGTTGAAAAGGATGAAAATAAAGCATTCATTTACTATCGAAAATCTGCAGAAATAGGATATGCTCTTGGGATGAATAATGTTGGTCGTTGTTATGAAAACGGAATTGGAGTTAAAATAGATAAGCATGAAGCATTCATTCATTATCAAAAATCAGTGAAAAAAGATAAAGAAATTGGAATGAATAATGTTGGTCGTTGTTATGAAAACGGAATTGGGGTTGAAAGGGATGAAAATAAAGCATTCATTCATTATCAAAAATCTGCAGAAATTGGAAATGCACTTGGAATGAATAATGTTGGTCGTTGTTATGAAAATGGAATTGGAATTAAAATAGATAAGTATAAAGCATTCATATATTATCAAAAATCAGCGGAGAAAGATAATGACTTTGCAATGAATAGCGTTGGCTATTATTATGAAAATGGAATCGGCGTTAAAAAAGATAAACATAAAGCATTCAAGTATTATCAAAAATCTGCTGACAAAAATAATGCTTATGGAATGTATAAAGTTGGTCATTGTTATGAAAAAGGAATCGGGATTGAAAAGGACGATCATGAAGCATTCATTTATTATCAAAAGTCGGCAGAACTGGGTAGTATTATTGGAATGTATAAAGTTGGAAATTGTTTTCGGTATGGAATAGGAGTTGAAAAGGATAACAATGAGGCATTTATTTGTTATAAAAGGTTTGCAGAAAGAGAAAGTGATGATGCAATGTATAATCTTGGTGAATGTTACGAAAACGGTATTGGAACTAAAAAAGATGAACAAAAAGCATTTATTTATTATCAAAAATCTGCAGAGATGGGGAATGCTAATGGAATGTATAAATTTGGTGACTGTTATCGAAATGGAATTGGAACAACAAGGGACTTAAAGATGGCCATTGATTGGTATCAAAGGTAGTAATTAAATTTTATTAACTTTATTATATTCTTTACCAAATATTTAAATTTAATTCTATCAATAGAGCAAAAAATGGTTCGCCAGGTAATCTATTTCGTCATCACTCTTCTTTAATAATCTTAGCTAATAATTAAAGTTTTTTTTTAGTCACAGATAAACATATACTATGGATAAATGAAAATTCTGACATTGATGATAATCTTAAAAATTTTTTAATTGAACATGAATTACTATGGATTCCTTATAACGAATTTACGAATATTAAAGAATTAGGAAAAGGTGGATCTGCGACTGTATATTCTGCTGAATGGTTTGATAGGAAGTTAAGTTTGCAGAAACGTTTTGCACTTAAAGTATTTCATGAATCGAAAACTTACCATGAAGAATTTATAAAAGAGGTAATTTTTTAAGACATTGTTTATATTTCAATAATTTATTATTTTTAATAATTCTTTTACAATTGAAGTTAAAAACATACTGTGAAATAAATAAAAATCCATCATTTTTAAAATGTTATGGAATAACAAAAGATAGTTCTAAGGGATACATTCTCATTTTGAAGTGTGCAGAGATGGGTTCTTTGCGTAAAAATCTTCATGATATAAAACAAATGAAATGGGAAGATAAATCAAATTTATTACATTGCATCGCTCATGATCTGCAAATAGTACATTCGCAAGGATTAATTCATCGGGATTTACATAGCGGTAATATTTTACAAGATAATTTACATAGTGCATATATTACGGATCTAGGACTTTCAATAACAGTTAATAGAAAACCAAAATCCGAACCTGATGGGGTATATGGAATTTTACCTTATATTGCACCTGAAGTTTTGGTTGGGAAAAAGTATACCAAAGCATCTGATATTTATTCGTTTGGTATGATTATGTGGGAAATTTTATTTGGGAAACCTATATATTATGATCAGGAATTTAGTAACCTACAATATCAAATATGTTATAATGATTTGCGACCGATTGTTGGAGACAACATTTCACAATGTTATGCAGAGTTGATGAAAAAATGCTGGGAAAGAGAACCGGAAGCACGCCCTTCGGCAACAGAACTTTGTAGAATATTTACAGAGTGGCAAAATAGTGAAAATGTTTTATTAGAATTGAACGAATCTCAAAAACTGATAGAGAATATTGGAAATACATCAATGCAGAAATGTTGTGAAAACTCTTATGGAAGTGAATTTATTCAACTACTATGTAATCAAGGTAAATAATGGAAGGTTATTTAAATTTTTGATTATTTCTATTTATATTAAATTACAGAATTAACGAGTTTATTTTAAAGCCACTGAATCAAAGAACTTGATTATTGAAATTTCATTGGAAAGAATTTAACCCACAAAAAAAATTGAAGATATCAATAAATAGATGCAATATTATTATATTTTTTTTAATCTTATATTTTAATCGAGATACCATTAGAGAAAATCTTTTGTAAGAGGTCTGTCTTCTTTGATATATTGATATCTTTAAATCATTCTCGTAATAGATTTCATTAAAAGAAATAAAAACCTTTGTCTTCTGATACAAAAGATATCCACATCAAAATAACTAAGATATTTAAATATAATCATAGTATCCATCAAAGCCATTAATTTTTGACCTTAATTCATAGATTGATAAAAGATCTGATTGTCTAAAAAATATCAGAGTTAACCATTTTGATGAGAAAATCTCGAGATGCAAACCACCCATTTTCTTCAATAATTTATCATTGATAAAGGTGCACACACACTTTAAGTATCATACATAATAAATACTATGAATTCAACAAATTTTTATCCGACCCAAAAAAATAGCCTTTTTTATTCTTAATGTTAGAAGCTTTTAAATAAATAATTAATACCTTGGTACATATCAATTAATATAACCTATATTCTAACATATAACCTAACCATAATGAATACTGCTATTCTGGTTTCACTCATTTAAGCTTCTGAGCAAAGAATGCCTCAAAACGGGAGGGTTTTGGGCAATGTTTCCCCATATTTCAATATTTAGCGGATAATTGGTAAAATCATTAAAAGAGGGCCGACGAAACTGAAGTTGAAGCTTCTGTGGTTGGCTAAACATGAATTTTTTTATTGTTTTTTTTTTAGTGGCAAACAAAGATTACGAAACTAGAAAGGGCATGCTCAAGTATTTAATTCTATAAATATCTTCATTAATTGTGATACTTGAACACATAAGTAATATTTATTTCCCTCAGCGCCGAGAAATAAGGGTATTTTTCTTCGTTTTTATAGGATGTCATGACGGAGTTATATGGCTCATAAACTAATAAAAAAACCGAGTTTTTATCAATGCAAGTTGTTTCCCCGAAAGTCCGGGAAATAACTTGCTTTGATAAAAACTCGGTTTTTTTTAATTAAAGTAGGATTATGAACAATAAAACCCTGTCATGCGATCATATAGAAACGTAGAATAATGTAGTAATAATAATTATATTTTTGTGATTGTATCCTAAAATGTTAACATATTCGAAATTAAGATTTCATTTGAATGCATTTCTCGTATGTTTGATATATTTAGTCTATACGAAAATTTATAATGAAGGTTGTTCTTGCCAACCAAAAGATCTTAACAACAAACATAAAAGGGATCTAAATATAAGCATTCATAATAAATATATTACATGAGGAAGTGCCAATAAAAAAAAGTTCGATGGATAAGAATTTATTAACTAGCTAAAGAAAGGTTTAACTCAAGTTATAATTCTGAACAAAGTTTTCATTAATATTTACCAAAATTGCATTGAAAATTATAATCAAAAATCGTATTAGAATCTATAAAAGTATTTATTAATTTATGTAATATAAATTACTGAATTTTTAAAATATAAAAAAGCAAATCATTATGATCAGATGAAAGTGTCGAATTAGTTGATCTAATAACTAAGCAATCTTTGGCTTGTTCGTTTATAGTAAACATCTTAAAAACGCCTAGCTTATCTGAAGTAACTACTGTTGAATCTGAAATATCCAACTTATCTGAAGTGCAAACTAAAATAAAATTGTAATATTGACATATATTATCTTTGTAATTAGCAAGATATGTAAATTATTACGTAATCGTTCATTATTGAAAATAAAAACTGAGGTTCTTTTTAATTTTCTCTGCTTTTATATTATATTCAATTATATTATTTAAGCTAGTGATGCAAACGGCTGGCTCTACGCAGAAAATGGCTGGCTATAACAGAGCTGAGTTACTTTTGAACCGAGCCGCTTTTGAACTGAGCTGTTTTTTAGCCAATTTGTTTTTAGCTGAGCTGATCAGGAGCCGATCAAGAGCCAGCTAAAATGCAGCTATAATTTTATTGTTATTACTCTTATTATAAAAATTCTTTAAAATTCGCTTTCATTATAGAAAAATTCTTTAATTAAATTTAGCATTAGCATTAATATTATTGTATGCATAAAATATTTGTAATTAATTTTAATTTGCGAATATGTAAAAAATAACATATTTGAAAGAAATTTAATTTTTTTTGAAAGCAAAAATAAAAAAAAATAACATTTAAAAGAAACTTAAATTTTTTTAAAAGCAAAAAAAAATAAAAATAAAATATAGTTAGTCTTTTTTTTTTATAAAATTAAAAGAGACTATTCTCTTTGAAATTTAATGCTATGTTCCAACCATGAGCCAGTACACATGAGAGCTTGAATGCTTTTTTCTAAAGACGTGTTCGCTTGGCTCTTATTGTGCTACCTGCCTTTGAAAATATTTGTTCAGAGGGTACTGAAGTAGCCTAAATCACAAGATAGTCCTTGGTCATATTGGATATACTAGGAAAATGAAAACTATTAAGCTTCCACCAATCCAGAGAATTGATATTTATAGGTAAAGTAGCTTCGCTCAAATATTGAGTAAGTTCATCCACTGTATTATTTGAAACATTAAATTGTTTTCATTTTTGAGCAACCTTTTCTACATATGTTGAGTCAGAATTTGAAGCTGTGAGCAAATTACTTAATGCAGAAGATTCTGAATATTCTTGAAAAATATTATTAAAATAATCCTGATTTTCTTGTGTATTTATGTCAACTGGTATTAACTCCAGTTTAATTCAGAGATCAAGAATTGATACAATAAAAGCCATTTTATCATATATATAAACTATATATTGCTTGATTTTTTCTAACATTTGTGTTGCAGCAGTTTTAAGAAATAAGAGACTTGATGAATCTTGAATACATGTTGTAATATTATCAACAATATTATCCATTAAAAAAATAGAAAGGCCTATAGTTACATATGTGCTACCCGAAAGGGTATTTGTAGTTTCATAGAATGGTTGCAAAAATTAGGTTACAATTTGAAGATCAGAATCTTCTTGTTGTGTAAGCATGTATTGATCAAGATTACTATGATATCTAATAACTGCATCTATTGTTGTAGGCATAGATGTGTAAACTGATAACATCAAGTAAGTGCTATTCTAGTCAACACATCCTGTGAAATTTTATGAACAACTTCTTCTTTACCAACAGACTGATCAATTTTTTTAAAATCTTGAGTAATCATAGATGATGATATAATAGCCTTTACAAATCTACGTACTTTTTCAATTGATGTTTTAATCAGAGATGGTAAAATTTGAGGTCATTTGCCTTTTTTTCAAATGACCAAAGTTATTTCTGACCAAAATTTATAATAAAATTAAGGTCGTTTGAGGTCATTTTGAGGTTGTTTGAGGTCATTTGAAAGTCATTTGAAGGTTATTTACCATCTCTGATTTTAATTAGTGCTATTCCTGTAGTAACAACAAGATTTAAAACATAAGCAAGACAACAACATAAATAACAATAAAAATCTTGCATAGTTAAGTGTATTTTTAATAATCACACTGCTAAAATTACATTAGATCCATTATCTGTAGTTGTACAAAATATCTTTGTAATAATATTAAAAATTGCTAAAATAGATCTTAATTGCATTTCAATATCCTCACCAGTATGTGGGTGTGGAAGCATACACAAATCAATCAAAATCTTTTTTAGATTCCAATTATTGTTGATCCAATGTGCTGTGACTCCAAGAAAAGGCACATTGGTATATGAAGTCCAAATATCCAATGTAATTGAAATCTTATTTGAAAGTTAACCAAATAAAGTCTGAACATCTCCTCTTATTGAAATAAATGAATTTTGCACAATAGATTTTATAGTCTAATGAGAAGTTAACTCAAGAGTAATATTAAGATATTATAATAAAGCAATTAATCTCTTACTTTCAACAGTTGAAAAAGATAAGCTGCAAAAATGATTCACTCAGCTAATAAAAGATTAAACCATGCCTTTTTAATCAAATATTAAACTTTGTATAGAAATTGTATCATTGTGCATAAGAGCAAAAAGTTCAATCTTATTTCAACCTGGATGTTGTGAATCAAGATGCTTTTTTTGTGCCAATTGCTGTTTTTTTACTATATTTATTTTTGCAAATAATACAAATAACTTACTTGGCATTATTAGGGTTTTTAATAAAATATGAAGTAACCAGTGATTTTTTATTGTTTGAATCTACAGAAAGAGAGGTAACACTTGTACTTGAACAAGCATCGGAAGTGTCTTGAAGGTCTTGAAAGTTAAGAAAAAAGTCTATTTTGATAATTATGATAAGTAAATAAGAAATTTTTTTTATTTATAATAATCTTTATGATATTATGAGTATTATGACATATTATGATAGTATGTTATTGTCTATTACACTCTATTATTAATGATTGGCTTATGGCTTTAAGTTGGCATTACTTTACACAAGTCAAACCGTTAGTTAGTTGAGCTGTTATTTAGCCGAGCTGTCATTTAGCTTAGCTAAGCTGATCGTCTAAGTGGCTAAGCAGAGCTATTTTGCAATACTAATTTAAGCTATCACAGGTCCAATGCATAAATATCAGATATCCGATAGCTAATGATTGCTAACTAATTGTGCCAAAATCTAATCTATATTGGCAATACTTTAAAAAATATCAGAAGCATATTAGGTATCAGGATACCCGATATAGGGACCTGCGGAATCTGTGATATAATTTAACAAATTATGTTTTCGATATTAGCAAATTATTTGATTTACTGCAATTAACAATAAAAGTCTGAATTGGTATAAAATTTAAAAATTTATCTAATAAAAAACTTGCAATTTTTTTAAAAAAATATTACACTAAAAAAAAATTTTAGTTTTTATAGCAAATCACAAAATCCATAGGTCCCTGACCTAATATTTATTTTTTACCTAATATCCTTCTAATATTTTTTGACATATTTCCTAATATTTATGTTTTGGACCTGTGTATTCCTCTTAAACTTCTATAAACTTCTTTTAAACTACATTAACTTTTTATTTTAATTAATTGCTAATTATGCTATACGGATACATCAAGACTATTATGATTTGAATTATAAATGGATTAAACCAATAACCAATAGACTAGTAGACAAATTATGAATAGAATTAGGGTACTCTTAAGTGCCTCAATCAATAGATCAGTGTATAAATTTTAATTAATAAAAATTTGCTCAGCAGGTCAAGAGAGTTTATCACTGTAGTCAAAAAAGAAGATAGTTAGTGACTATCTTTTTTCTTTATAGAGCTGTGCTAATTGGCCAAATTTTATCATAGAGTGAGATTATTCAAGCACTTTACGATTAAATCAATATTTTTTTATGATCAACCTATAGTTTTTTTACTATTATTTTTTTTTTATTATCAAATCTTTTTTTTTATGATTGAACCATTGTTTTTTTTTTTTATAATCAAATCTTTTTTTTTATTTATTTTTTTTTTACAATCGAATCATTATACTTTGCACTTATACTTTGCACTAAATACACTTCATCAATATGGACCTTTGCCATCAACAACAAATTCACAAATTACTTTTTTACTCTTTGTGCTAGAAACTTTCATTACAAATAAAAAATATCAAGAAACCCCAAAAAATATAACTGGCAATTGTTATTTTGGGATGATGTTTATCGATTTTTGGTTTATTTCCAGAAATAGTATTAGTGTTAGATGAACTTGATATTTTATCTACAACATGTAAATTTTCTTGACTAACTATTTAGTAGTAGAAGTTTGATTATTGTCACTAACAAATGACTTTAAAAGAGATATCTAAAAAAATTTTTTATTAATTCTTTATAAAAAATTACAAATTTAAATAAAATTCAATATATACTTCTTCATATTCGCTATTAGTTCTGTAGTTCTATTTAAAACTAAAGGATTACATAGTGGTGCAGAAGAATAATATTGATGTAACAGCATATGATAATTTGTTAAATCTGTAAAAGGAACAACAGGAGTATTGTAATTAGGTGAAGGGGCAATATAACTATTTGGAATTGCTAAAGAAGTAGTGAAAACACTTGAAGTAGTTGAAACAGATATATTTGAAGTTGTTGGCAATGGTAATGTATTTTTTTGTTTGTTGAACAGATGTTTTTTTTTTGTTTGTTGGAGACATGATAATCGTAATATTAAAAGAGCTCACTCAATCATTGATCACAATCTTTATATTCATTGATTGTAATGATTGTGTGTTATCTCAATTACTATCTAATCACACTCATGAAGATGCTTGAGAGCACCCTTATTGTCTAATTAAATTTTGTTTAAATAGACATTAGTCGCTCTCAACGCCTCAATTAATGAGTCAAAAAGCGTCTGGGAATAAATTTTACTTGGCGGAAAATATTTAAACGTGTTTATCATTACGATGAATATGCATAAATTAATAAAGTTTATTACGTAATAAACATTTTTTTATTAGTAAAAGACATTAAATGAATTTTTCATTTTAATCAACAAATTTTTTACAACAGCCCTCCTTTTTTTATACCTGCCTTTGAAAATTTTACGATCAATAGAGCATTCAAGGAGATCACTCAAGCAGCTTTGCCATGGACCATCATTTTTGACAGCAACGAATTATTATTTTACTTCTCACATTAAAAGTTTTTATAAAAAAATTGAGTAGCCTAAGAAACAATATCAAATACTTACCATCTCTTGGCCTTGCTCAAATGGCAACAAATTCAACTATTCCGTCATTATAGTTGGTGAAATCAGCGAATGGAGTACTAGAAAGTAGTATTACAGTTTTCAAATCTGCACACCCTACTTCTATAACAAAACTCACCTGGTTGCTTTATAGTGCCCAGACGTGATCATCAAGCAGCTATTTTTCTACTTTTCGAAGTCGATGATTCACTAACATCTGTTACTTTCTTTTGGATAGACGCTTTTATTTGTTTTTATTTGCTTTTATTTTATTTTATTTTTTATTTTTTTTTTAAAAAAAATTTTTATTTTTTAATTTTTTAATTTTTGTTTTTTATTTTATTTTTTGTTTTTTTTTAATTTTTTTGTTTTTTATTTTTTAATTTTTTAATTTTTGACGACATTTGACAAATAATAGAAATCAATAGGGTCTGCTCAAGTACCGTACAGCGCTGCATACAGTATCCCTAGTCTTTTTCAAAAATACCAAGATTAATTAAATAATACCCCGGGGTACTGTGTGAAGAGGAGGGTACTATACGAGGGGGATACTATGAAGAGTGTATTGGTTATGTGAGTTGATCTAATAACAAGATCATTGATTCGGATCATAAACGTCATATAGTAATCATTTACCTGGTAAATAAACAAGTATACAACCGAACTTCTTTACATAAATACATTAAGCGATCGAACTTCATTATATAAATATATTGAGTGATCGAACTTCTTTACATAACTTAATATATTAAGCTATCGAATTTATTTATATAAATATATTGAAATGGGTTTACGAGCAAACAAAAGAACAAATCGTGTTACAATTACAAAAAAAAACACGACGGCAGTACACACGGGAAAAATAATTTATAATAATCGAATAATTAGAAATCGGAATTTTTTTTTAAAAAAAAAAACGGTAGATACAATGAATTTTACGAAGTAGAAAGTATTAATTCTGATAACAATAATTTAATATAATTTAATAAATATGTAATTGCAAACGTTAATTGAAACGAACAAAAAAAATATATGTAGCATGCTTTATTAAATATATCAATAAAGTCAACCTTTTTAATATTTTTATTAATAACGATGATTTACGTATCAAATTTGTGTTGTAAAATTCGTCTAATCGATTAGCTACTTGATTAGTATCGGGATATTTTACAAAAATGGTAGAATTCACAATTAAATAGTACCCCAATACTAATTAAAGGGGGTACTTTTTCAAGGGGGCACTGTATGCAGCGCTGTACGGTATTAACTTTCAATGATTATTTCGATTGATCGTAATACGTGAGCACTAGTACGATCACTCACTAATCAGAAGCTTGAGAAGATTTCAATTATATCATAAATTGCATATTCAAATTTCCGGCAAAAATTTTTTGTAAATATATTATGCTTGAGCGCTATTACGATCACTTGCTAATCACATTGAGATTGACGCTTGAGAGCGACCATTGTTTATTCTCAACCAAATTGAATATACATTAGACAATTAGATCATTAGGCAATTGGACAATACCATTTTGATTATACTACGTTTATTCACAACATTGCTTAGTTATATTGATTAGCTAATAAGTTTGGTTTATCAATTAGGTCAATCAAAAAATTTTAGACATAAAATTTACAGTATGGTCTTTTATAGTTATAAATTCTATAATTTACATATAATCTAATAAACATGTTTTTTTTCTTTGTTGCACAGTATTAAGAAAACTGAATCTAATTCTTGTTCTATTTTGACCTGAGAAATTTTTTTTAAAAAATAGCAGTCTATCTATTAACAACGATAAATAAAGAATCTTATAAGCTTAAAATATTCAACACTAAAAGATCTGCCTTATTGGATGCAGTAAGTAATGCTAAATCAGAAATTAAATATCATACATACTATATTATTGGAACATAAAATTATGAGAATTTTCCAAACCTATAATGAATTAAATTAACATGCTTGACGAGTTCTGTATTTCTTTAGAGAATCTAATTTCCACCGTCACTGCGGCGCACCAATCTGGTATACATTTTCCGGATCCAACATTTTTTCGAGGTGACGCTAGGGTCTAGATCATGTGACCTCCTGCTATCAGTTGCCCCGTTAGCCTGATGTGAATTAATGTTAGCACCGGTTGATAGTTTTATAAACGGAAACCGAAGCCTAAATTTTTTATGAGTCCTGTTTCGAGTACTTCTATTTATAGCTTGTTCACCATTGGTACTTAAAGGAACTTGCCGAACATGCTGAATTTCTTGAATAACTTGTTCACCATTGGTACTTGAACCTTGCAGGCTTAAAGGAACTTTCTGAATTTGCTGGATACCTGGGTCAATTCTACTCATAGTTTGTTCACCATTGGTACTTAAAGGAACTTGCTGAACATGCTGAATATATTGACCAATTCTATTTATAACTGGTTCACCATTGGTACTTGAACCTTGCAGGCTTAAAGGAACTTGTTGAATTTGCTGGATATCTGGGTCAATTCTACTCATAGTTTGCTCATCATTGGTACTTAAAAATCTTTTTAGGCTTAAAAGGTCTTGATGAACTTGTTGAATATCTGGGCGGCTATTAGGATCATGCTCCCAACAATCTATTTTTGATTAAAATATTTTTTAGATTTTTAGATTTTCTTCAAAGATAAAAAATGATGCAATAAGTAATTTTATACCTGTATAGATCTTAATATATGCCGATGGTGTTCCTTCAATTGAACTTTCTCGAACACCACTTCTAATACCAAGAATTAATGATGCAAGCTGATACTGTTCAACAATATTCTTAAAAGGTGGATAACCGCTCGATATTTCCCACATAATAACACCAATACTATAAATATCGGATTTTTTGGTAAAACTAAATGTTTTATTTTCATTCCCCGGCATACTAAAACTCTGTGGATCCATATATGCAAGAACCCCGCAACATTTTTGGTTTGAATTTGTCGCTTCATCTAATCTTTTTGAAAGCCCAAAGTCTGATAGCTTAATGCATTTTTGATGAACAAGTATATTGTTCGAATGCTATTAAAAATGATAAATAGTTAAGCTCGATAAAAATAGTAAAAATCACAAATGTTGTGTTTGAAAATTACCAGATCATGATGTACTATATTTTCAGTATGCAAGCTTTTAACTGCATTGACAATTTGTAATGCAAATTCGATCTTATCATTCCAAGAAAGATGTTTAAAGTTTTTTTGCAAGTATGATCTTAAAGTTCCATTGTCTGCATATTCAAGGACAAGCATGTAATGTATAGAACTCGGATTTGTTTCATCTATCACATACGTAATAATATCATATATATGTTATTTACAATAATTTATTTTTTTTATTTAAAAATTAAATTAATAATTTTACCTTCATTTTTAGTAGCACCGTATAGACGTATAATATTAGAATACATATTCACTCTATTATGTAATTCAAACTATGCAGTTATATTTTATAAAAAAATTATTAATGTTATGGTTACATGATTATTTATTTTAACGATTATTATTAAGTAAACAAACTACCTCTTTAACAACTTCTTCGATATCCACATTATTTTTAAATGATTTTAATGCGACTATAACTCCATCGCTTTCAAGAGCAGCACGGTGTACTTTTGCGTATGCACCTTCTCCGATAAATCTAACATACTTGAAACAAGAATATTCATAAAGCTTGATATTTTCTTTATTTAGGCATTCTTCAATTAAATCATTAGATGGGTTCATGCTTCGCGTAGAGAAATAACTTCACGGATGATAAATATTTAAATAGCTGTCGAGCAACAAGAATTGATTTTTGTGAAATGATGTGGTTATACAAGAGAGGCAAGAATAATTCCTTTGAGGGTTTCTGCAGACGCAAAAGTTACAGAATCTAACTTTTAAATGAAAGATGAATAATTCGTGTACTAAGATGATATTTATCTGTTTTCTAATAAGTGCATGTTTATCATTTAACCAAGAAATAAAAAAAAACTCCCTTAAATGCTTTCCTCAGATACATCTGCCTTCTTTTCACGCCAGATTAAGTGAAAAAAGATATAATTTCCTGATTGTAGAACAGGGAAGTTCGTTTTTACTGGATGAATTGATTGAAGCGTTATTAAAAAGTAAGAATAGTAATAATAAATTTGAAAGTACATTATCCTAATTTTCGGGATTATACATACTTCTAAACATATACAGATTTTTAAAATACATATTGTTTGTAAAGGTATTGCAGTATTGGGAGAAATAATTATCTGTGATCTTTTAAATTTCCTTATATCCGCCCGTTTTAGAAACTTTAATGCTGTACATCACCGCTACATAATGCGTTGCGTTTCACAAAATTAATGATTACAAGGATGTTCGATCTACTCTGTTTTTTTTTTTTTTGTTTCTGTGGTACAATTATGTACTACGTACAATTACGTCACGTACGATTTTATACACGTGACGTTTTACAAATAGAAATTTCTATAAACATTATTATGTTTCACAGATTAATATAGATTATAGCTTAATATAGATTATAGCTTGAAAATCATATGAGAACTCCGAACTAATCTATCTTTATTGAGATGATCATTATTTACTGTTTATTTAATAGTTACTCTGCAAATAACTGAGGTATTTGCTGCTTGCGATTTGATTGGCCGATTCTAAGCACCAAAAATGCGCAAAATTCGACCATGCAGATCAAATGCAGCAAATACCGATAAGGTACTGTATCGGTATGTAGTGTTCTAATATGAATCAGCCCGAAGCACCCCCCGAAGTTCGGTATTAAATTGCCGCAGCAGCCGCAGTATATTTTATTTATTAACCATAGCTGCCGCAACAAATTTGGACCGGCAGATCCTCGATTTTGATTGGCTAAGAGCGACGATAAAAAGAT